GCTGTTTTGCACTTCACTTTGAATTGTCTACATAAAATTTAGGAATATTTTCATAAAATTGTTCATAGATTGCTAATTGTGAAACCACTATGTCTCTAAAATAAATCTGTACGGAATTCTATCAGTTAACATTTTACATTCTTCCTCGCTTTGCTTTCAAGATAGCTTTTTGAAGTTCATGCCACCAGTCTATATTATCTGCTACTGTCTTTTGTTATTTTCATCTTCTGATTATGGCTTGATCTTTCAATTCCTTGGATTTCACGTTTTCAGTGATTTTTTTCTCCATCTCACTTCAGCCATCTAATTCCCATGGTCATATCGTTTGCCTTCACTAGCTCCAAAACCTTAAGTTCAAATATTTCTCTGGAGCTTGAACTTTCTCAGCTGGGGGAAATATTGCTCCACCAGAGAATATTTGGAAACATTTTTGGCTGATACAACTGGAGGCAGTTTGTTCTATGCATCTAGTGGGTAGTGGCCAGGGATGTTGCTAACCATCAGGCACAGGACAGCCCCCAAAACAAATAATCATCTGGCCCCGAATGTCAATTTTCCAAGGTTGAGAAACACTGCCTTAAAGCTATATCTCCTCTCTGGTTTCTTTTCAACCCATTTTTTGGTACGACTTATTTATAGTTACTTTTTTTGGGGGGGGTGGGGAGATAGAGTCTCGCTCTGTTGCCAGGCAGGAGTGCAGTGGCACAATCTCAGCTCACTGCAACCTCCGACTCTCTGGTTCAAGCGATTCTCCTGCCTCAGCTGCCCGAGTAGCTGGGATTACAGGCACGCACCACCTCGCCCAACTAATTTTTGTATTTTTATTAGAGATGAGGTTTCACCTTGCTGGCCAGGATGGTCTCAATCTCCTTACCTCGTGATCTGCCCACCTTGGCCTCCCAAGGTGCTGGGATTACAGGCGTGAGCCACCGCACCCCGCTTATAGTTACTATTTTTACTTCCTCATTTCACATTATTTCTTCAGCCATCACCAACTGAGGTCCTGCCCTAACCCTTCACCAAGACTACTGTTGTCAAGTAATTGACATGATGCATGAGTCCTCCCTCCTTGGAACTGTTTCTCTCACGGTTTCTAGGAGACCATATTTCCTACATATTGGCAGTTCCTCTTGTCTCCTTTCCTGATTTTTTCTCTGCTCATTCTTCCCAGAGTTGGACTTTGGGTACTGATCCAAACTCCTTTTCTCTGTCTACCCACTTCCAAGGTGGTCTCAAGTAATTTCATGGCTTAAATTACCTTTATGTAGATATCTATATGTAAGAATCCGTATGTACTTATCTATATGTGTTCTATGTATAGAACACTCCTAAATTTAGATCTCAGCCTTGAACTCTTGACTGTCCACTTGGTATTTCCACTGGGATGTTTTCTTGCATTTCAAATTTAACAAACGTCAAATTCTTCACTCTATTTCTTCTGCCAGAGCTACCCCTCCCCATTCTCTCTCATGTCAGTTAATGATACCACCATCTACTGAGTTGCTCTAGCCAACATTTTAGGAATTATACTTGATCTCTCTCTCTCTTTACTTTACCTTTCACATTTAACCTGTCAGCAAATCCAATAATAAATGTTGCACCCACCATCAAAATGAGTAAAAGCTAGATAAACTGCAAAATCATCAAAGTGCTGAGGTAACAGAGCAATTAAATAGCCTGAAATCTAAGGAAACATGGGTGTAATTAAGGAAAAATGGGAGAAAGCACTAGGCAATTTGTGCAGATCATAGGAGGAAGTGATGCCTAGCACCATTAAGGAGGTTAAACATTCAGATAAAAATTTTAGCAAATTGCTAAAGGCTGAGTGTGAGCTAATATGAGGATATAGACCACATGGGAGCCAGAGACAAAATAGGGTGTTCACATCCACTTGCAGACCCGTTTCTACAAACCTCCACCAGGTCTTCACCAGAAAGACAGGGAGCAGGGTGGGAAGCTGGAGAAAGTCTCCTTTGGTAGTACAGGCCTGGAGGACAGCAGTGGCCAATACTTCGGGAAAGGCACAAAACCCTGCCCAGATCCTTTCTCTTACAGAACCAAAGCTTTGAGCCACTGAGAGAAGGGCAAGAAACCCTATCACTCCCAGGGCCAGAAAAGCAATTTCCTCTAGAGGCGAGTCGTGATAAATACATCATAGGAACCACAGTTAGGCACATTCTACAAAAAAACTATTTCTCTACAAAACTGTCAAGGTCATCAAAAACAAGAAAAACTGAGAAACTGTTACCATCTAGAAAGACATGACAACCAAATAAAATGTATCCTGATGAGATCCTGGAACAGAAAAATGACCTTAAGTAAAAACTAAGGAAAAGTAAATAAAGTTTGTACTTTAGTTAATAATAATGTGTCAATATTAGTTCAAAGTTGTGACAAATCTACCATACTGATGGAAAATAATAAAAATATTGAAAGCTGGATAAGGGGTATATGGGAATTCTCTGTATTATCTTTATAACTTTTCTAAAACAAAAATTTTTGGAAAGGGTAGACAACATGTATGAACAAATGGGAATTTCAGCAGAGGGATGGAAACTATAAGAGTTAAACAGAAATACTAAATATATGTCTGTCTATCTATTGATCTACCTATCAATCAACAATAATGTGGTAATGGATATTTTGCCTTTGATGGGCTTATAATCAGACTAGACACAGCATAAGAAACAATGAATGAATTTGAATATAGGCCAACAGGAATTACCCAAACTGAAACACAAAGACAACAAAGAGTGAAAAACAATGAGTATAGAACATCTAAGAGATATGGAACAATATCAGACAATCTGACACATGTGTAATTGGAATCCCAGTAGAAAAAGAGAGCGAATAGTGCAGAAGAAATATTCAGAGATAATCAATGAGAATTTTCCAAAGATAATGACAAATATCAAATCACAGATGAGGAAGCTTAGAGAACTTCAAGAATCTCATGCACACATGTGCACACCACCCCCACCCCTGCTGCCTGGACACATTGTATTCAAACTGCTGAACAAAAGATAAAAATCTCAAAGGCAGACACATTAAATTCAGAAGACCGAAGATAAAAAATATAGCAAAAAACCTTGTCAGAAACTACATAGATGTTCAAAAGAAAATTAACATCTTAAAATGAAAAGAGAGAGAGAACAAATGAACGAACCTGGCAATCCAGTGAATCTAGCAAACTATCTTTTAACAATGAAGGTGAATTTAAAACTTTTTCAGATAAAGAAAAACTAAGAGAATTCATTACTAGCAGACTTGTACTTAAGTTAAAGGAAGTTCTTTAAGGAGAAGGTAAATGACACAAGATGGAAATTTGGATCTACACAATGAAATAAAGATCTTTTGAAATAGCAAAAATTAAGGTAAATAGAAAATACTTCATTTCATATTTTTATTATTCTAAAAGATAACTGTCTGAAGCAAAAATAATAGCAATATATATATTTCTGTTTATAGCATCTGTAAAAGTAAAATGTATAAAACAGCACAAAATCCCCATACATTTAGAAATTAAATAACAGGCCGGGCGCGGTGGCTCAAACCTGTAATCCCAGCGCTTTGGGAGGCTGAGGCGGGTGGATCACGAGGTCAAGAGTCCTGGTCATCCTGGTCAACATGGTGAAACCCCGTCTCTACTAAAAATACAAAAAATTAGCTGGGCATGGTGGC